CCATTATCAGAAATGGATGGTTCCCTTCCATTCATTCCTTGGGCCATGTGTTAAATCTAGTCTTGCTGTTTCATAGTTACCCATCATGTTTTACCCAGAATATTATCTTTCATTATTGTCTGTATTTTTCAATAAATTTTTCTAAGAATAACTTTGGCTTCTTAAAATAATTAAGACTACCTTCAAAGAAAGATTTGCTATTATCAAATATTTCAGTGTATATTTCCTACAAACAAGGACAGTCTCTTAATAATCATATTAAAATGATTAAAATCAGGAAAGTGTAACATTGACACAATACAGTTATTAACCACAGTCCTTCATCCTCCACCCCCAGCTTAACTGAGGTATAGTTGGCAAAAATTGTATAGATTAAGGTGTACAATGTGATGTTGTGGTATACGTATATATTATAAAATGATTAACCAAAATTAAGCTAATTAACATACCTATCACCTCATGTAGTTACTGTTTTTTGTTTGTTTTTGTTTTTGGGTAATGAGAAAACATTACTCTCTTAGGAAATTTCAAGTATACAATGCGGTATTATTAACTATAGTCACCATGTTGTCATTAGATTTCCAGAATGATTTCATTTTGCAGAACTGCAACTTTGTACGTTTTGGCCAACATCTCCCTGTTTCTCCCAACTTCAACCCCTGGCAACCACCATTACACACCCTGTTTCTATGAGTTTGACTTTTTTAAAAGATTCCACATGTAAGTGATATTATGCAGTATTTGACTTTCTTTTTCTGACGTACTTCACTTATCATACTATGCTTCAGGTTCATCCATGCTGTTGCAAATGGCAGGATTTCCTTTTTTAAGGCTGAATAATATTCCATACATATATATGCTACGTTTTCTTTATTCAGTCGTCTGTTGATGGATACTTAGGTTGTATTTACATCTTGACTATCATGAATAATGAACATGGGAGTGAACATGAACTGGGAGTGAACATGGGAGTGCTTCTATCTCTAAGACACTGTTTCATTTCCTTTGGATATCCACCCAGAAGAGGGTTAACTAGATCATATGGTAGTTCTATTTTAAATTTTTTTGAGTTACCTCCATACTGTTTTCCAACTTGTTGTACCAATTTTCCTTTCCACCAATGAATTCCTAGTCCTTATTCAGATACTGTCAACTCTCCAGGACTCAATTCAGAATCACTCTGTCTTTAGTTGTCATGTTGCTTTATTCTTCAGTCTGGATGGTTCTTTAGCCTTTTTTGGGGTGTTTTTGACTTCAGCATTTAAAACCATACAGACCAGTTATTTCATAGACTGTCTTTCAATTTGATTGACTGATGTTTCCTTGTGATTAGATTCAGGTATGCATTTTTGGCAGGAAAACTATAGCTGTAATACTGTCTTCTTTTCAGTGCTTTGGTTTAGAAGGCACCTGTTGTTGGTTTGTCCCAATATCGATGTTAACTTTTGTCAGTTGATTAAGGTAGCGCCTGTCAGGTTTCTCCACTGTGAAGTTATAATTTTTCCATTTATAATTAATAAGTGATTTGTTAGGGAGAAACTTTGAGACTTTATATATCCTGCTTCTTATCAACTGTTCGTTTACCAGTTTTAGCATCCATTGGCAATTTTCTCATTCCCATCTTTCAGACTTTTATATTTATTAATTGGCATTCTATCTTTATTTCCCATTTAATTAATTATTAATTAATTATTAATCTACATCATTAGGAATTCAAAGATTCTTATTTTTATTCAATGGGTTATAATCCATTACTGTCATTATTTAGTTTGTTGCTTAAATTATCCCACACTGGGTTAGTGAAAGCCCTGTGAATTGATTCCTCTTTCCTTTTGATATGTCCACATCAGTCTTTGAGTACCTACTTACATTCTGGCACGAGATGTTCCAGACTCATTTTGTACTCTTCCTGCCACAGCCCTGGAATCAGTTTTCTCCCGAAGGAACCCTTGGTTCCTTTTAGTGAGAATGCTAAATAGACAGCGCGATCTGAGCATGCTCATTGTCACTCGTGTGCTCATTACTGCTAGACTTTTTAAGGGACTGAGCTAGGAAATACACACACACACACACACACACACACACACACACACACACACACACA